CCCTCCCGGCCCTGGCCGCCCCCCCGTGCCCTGGGGCTGGTTGGGGTGTACGTCCCCCATCGCTGGGCAGAGGGGTGCCCCCTCTCCATCTCCCCACTCCTCCCCGGCCCCAGTGTCCCCAGTCTCCCTGGGACAGGAGTGGGAGCTCCTTCTCCCACTTCGTCCCCCTTCCTCCTCTCCCGCCAATCTGCGCCTAATGAGTTTTCTGAGGCTGGATTAATTACCTGAGCCACGCCAAGCTTTGGTGGGCTTCAATGTGCACGGCAAAGACCACTGCAGCTTTTCAAACACATTTCTTCATTTATGTGAAGCCAGGTGGGTTTGGGGGGGGGGTTACACAGCAGGGAAGGAGGGGACACACAGCCCCCGTGGCAACCACGGCTTGCCCAGCGCTTGCTGGCCATCAAGAGCGAGAGTGCAGGAGCGCACCAGCCCCCCGTGTGGGGCCTCAGGGCTTCAGGTACACCTCTCCCACGGTCTTGTAGGGGAAGTTTCTCCAGCCGAAGATGGGGGCTTTGTCAGGGCTGTTCTGCATGGCCGCCAGCACCCTCACTGTGGAGATCCCTGTGTCCCACATGTACACAGAGGACATTTCCCCCACGAAGGACTGACGGGCATTGAAGCCGCCCCCGAAGGTGTCCTGCTCCTGCCCCAGCAGGATGGCCGCCTCCGCCCCCACCGTGTAGCCCCTCTGCAGCCCCTTGCGGGGCCAGGGCTTCCCGTTGAGCCAAAAGCCCACAATGCCGGTGCTGGACTCCCAGCTGGCGCAGATGTGCTCACTTGCCACGATGGCCCCAAGGACACGGAAGGACACAAACTTGCCCCCAACATAGAGCCAGTACTCGCTGGGCTTGGGCTTGAAGAGAAGGATCTCATTGTCCTGCGCCTTGGGGGCGTAGGAGAAGAGGCTGTGGGGCCGGGTCGGGTCGGTGTAGGACCGCAGGCACACGGTGAAGTTCTGCAGCGGCTGCTCGAGCTTTGCCCTCACCAACACGTGGGAGTCTTTGGTCTCTTGGGGAAACACGAACACTTCCTTCACCAGGTCTGGGAGCGGTGAGAAAGAGGTGGCTGCTCCCGCTACGGAGAAGGCATCCAGCCAAATACTCCACGGCGAAACAGGGTTGCTGTGTGCCAGTGAGGAGGCTACCGCCAACCTGGAGGTGGCTTCCAGCATCAGACCCAGAGATGGCTTCCACCAAGACCAACCACATGTGGGCTGTGATATGGGGTGGCATGGGCAGGGGGTAGTGAGGACGAGCTGTGGGAAGGAGGGGAAGAGCCCTTGTCCCCAGCCATCCCCTTGGTCCCCTCCCTACCGTCTATCCACAGGCTGTAGGTGGCCACAGCGGTGCCCAGGGAGCTGGTGGCCGTGCAGATGTAGGTGCCCAAGTGGGTCTTGTTGAAGGAGGGGAAGAGGAGGATGTTGTCAGGGCCTTTCTGCAGGGGGTTGTGGCTTCCTTCCTTCTCCCACAGGAACTCCTGAGGGCTGAGCTGGGCCGGGTGTCACTCAGGCAGGGGGGGACACCCCAGAGTGGCCATGCCATGGGGTGGGGGCACATGGAGGGACCATGGTGCTCCCTCTCCAGCCCCTTCTTCGCCCACTGCCCACAGGGCCAGGGATGCCAGAGCTGCCTGCCCTGCACTGGTGCTGTGCCAGAGGCCGTGGGAGGGTGGGGAGCGCCTTACCTGGGGTCCCCCATCACCTTGCAGGAGAGCACCAGCTGGTGGTACATGGTGGGTGCCGGTGGGTGAGCTCGGATCTGGGCCGTTACTGTTTCTGCAGCACCCAGAGGAGAGGTCCAGGATGGACAGGGGGTCTCCCTGTCCCCCTGCCCCCACCCCTGGGGCTGGGCTGGGGCAGCCCCATGTCCCCACTGCTGCCCCCGCCGCAGCCCTTCATGGTGCCCAGTGTGTCCCCCACTGCTGTCCCCGCTGCGTCACTCATGGTGCCCTTTTTAGGTTCCTGCTACAGTGCCATCACATCTCTTCCTCCTGCTGCACTCGCTGCACCCACTGCACCCCTCACTGCGCCCACTGCGCCCTCACTGCAGCACTCAGAGTGTCCCACTGCCACCACTGCCACCACTGCAGCTTCTCCTCTCCCCACGGGACCCAGAGGCGGTCCCGGTGCAGCCCCTCTGTCCCTACCTCGGGGGGCAGCGAGGCTGCAGAGCGCTGCAAGGGTGAGGAGGCAGAGCCACAGCCGCCCCATGGCACTGCCAAGCCTGGCTGCTGGCACCTCCGCGGTGACGGGGAACTGCAGAGCCACTGTGCTGTGACCCTGAGGCTGCGTGGGCTCTGTGCCGGGGTGAGTGTGGCTATGCAGTGGTGACATTTCCCCGTGACCTTTGTCCCCATGTGCTCGGGGACGCTGACCCATGGGGCTTTTTGGCAATCTGCTGAGGGGCCCGGGCTGGTTTGCCTGCCCCGGAGCCTGCAGAGCCAGCAGGGAGCCCAGGGACAGCGGGTGTGCATGGGGATGGGTGTCAGGGATGGGTCCCACATTGCCAAGGGCCGCCGAGCCCCCCCCGCCTGCCTGTCCCTCATCATTTCTGCCCTTTTGTCTGCGGCTGGGGAGCACCCGCGCCCGG